CTGAGGAGGCTCCTTCCAGCAATGCTCCCTCCAGCTGAGAGCCAAGCAGGGTAACCTCAGGCTACAGGAGGCCAGGCGCGCCCAGGAGGACTCCCCTACTCGCACCGCAGGCCCAGTGACCAGCCTCAGCCCTGCCACCAGAGCAACAGGGAGCACCTGTGTCCTGTTGTCCATCCTGCTCCTGCCGTCCACGCGGGCAGTGTCTGCTGGTGCAACCAGCTCCCCTGGGTCCTACTGGGACACTTAGGGCTGTGGTCCACACCCACAGGGGCCTTAGCAAATGGCTGGGCATGAGTAGGCCAGGAACTTTCCAAATCTTCAAGGTCTGGTTCCGTTTAGCGATTCCTACAATGTGTCTCCGCTCACACGTTTTACCATAGCAGAGGCATCAGTCCCCAACACCCTGCTGAGGACACTCGGCTGAAGATCCAGCCTCATCCCATGCAGGTTCTACTGCCCAAGCACGAACACCATGAAGCAAGCTCTGTCACTTTCTGAGGAGTGTGCCCCCCCCTCTGGTCCCCAGCCATGCACCCATTCTGAGTCCTCACCAGAATCACGGCTCATGCTGCATCTGACCTCCCTGCTGTGGTGAGGGCAGGTGATCTCTAGCTGCGACCTTCCCAGAGCTGCCTCCAGCAGCCACTCTTCCACCGCAGCCCCGACAGCCTCCCAGCACACACCTGGTGCTCCTGCCGCCACCTGGAGTTCAGTGCCCAGATCTTAGACTGCGCAGGCTGCTTGTAACACAACGCCACCACCCAGACCCAGGGCTTGTCTTCTCCCAGCCCAGGGCTGGAGGCACCGCAGAGGCACCCTGATCTGGGTGTTGGCGACGGCTGCCTTCAAGTGTGGTGCTCCTCTGTGGTGCGCACGCCTGGCGAGCCTCAGGTCTGTCTCCTCCCATGAGGTGAAAATTCCCCTCAGGGCCTTATTTGATCTGAACTGCTTCCTGAGAGACCTCATCTCCAAATGCCACCAGGCAGCTCCAGAACCTGGGCTGGGGACCCAGCGCGCGGTCCATGATGAAGATGGATTGTCAGGAGAGGGGTGACTGCTACAGTGAGATGAGTCTCACTGTGCTGCCCGGGCTGGTCTGGAACTCCTGGGCAAGGAGTCCTCCGCCTCAGCCTTCTGTGGAGCAGGAAGCGCCACCACACTGGGCTGAGAAGGACAACGCCATCGGGAGAGCTGAGATCAGTGTCTCAGTTTAAAGCTGCTGCTTCCATCCACGGCCTGAAACCTTGTGCTGGTCTCAAGCACTTGCTCAGGCACATCCCTGAACTCAGGGCCCAGGACATACCTTCCTGGTGTCAGGGACCTTCTGTTCCAGGGTCACAGTGCAGCAGATATGCCCGCACAGACCGGGTGAGTGCAGACCATGGGGACCCCAGGCAGGAGCTCCAGGAGGGGCCCAGGCATGGGTGCCGCAGGCTGAACCCGGAGCAGCGGCCCTTCCCAGAGCCGCCTCCAGCAGCCACATTCCCACGGCAGCCCCCAGGCCTCCCAGCACACACCCGAGACTCCACCACGTCTCCAGGTCCTCCCGGGTCCCGGCTGAGCCTCCCCTTCTGCTGGCTGCTCCGGGCGGTCCTCTCACTGGCCAGTATCTCCACAGAATGTACCTCTGATCAATGCCCCTGTCCTCCTGAGTCATCTAGAGGATGCCGTCCCCATGGCAGGCCTGGGGCCTCTCAGGTCCTCCCAGTCAGTGCCCAGGGCCATAGGTCCCACTTCCAGCTCAGGCCTGGAAGGGGCCCAGCTCTGCTCCTGCCCCAGGACAGGATGTGACCACCTCCTCCACATCACCTCCCCCACTGTTGTCTTTACCCTGAACTTCCCCTTCTGTGGATGATGGAGTTTACAAGGGTGGGAAATCCCAGCCTGACAGTTGCCCACAGAAGGCGGCAGCAGCAGAGGGTTGTGCAACTTGAAAGTGCTCTATCAGAAACCAAGTAAATAAAACAAAAGCTCTCAGCCTGTGCCCACGTGTTGTCACATCTCCAGGTTGTCTTTGCCCTCTGAGGCTGGAACTTTCCAGGTCAAGTCCTTCCCAAAGGTGACTTTTCATAAAGTCTTAATGACATTAGCCTGTCCACTTCTCAGTCAGGAGGCACAGATGAAGATCCAATCTCTGCAGCTTGACTCTCTTGTAAGCACACACTGCACACGAATTCAGGAGAGTCTCGAAATTTACCAGTCCCCTTCAAGTCTGCCCTCCAGATCTGTTCAAGTGGAACGTCCTTCTTATTAATGAACCTCGTGAGGGGACCAGGCAGGATCATGTGCAGGATCCTTGGTGGAGACTGGATGGTGGAGGAACCAAGGCGGGTATAAAGTGAGCTAATGGTAAGAGTGGCAAGGCTCCTACCAAGCCTGTGTCCGCAAGGATGGGCTTTCTCAGCACAGTCCACGCACAGCGACCCAGGATTCCTGCAGTTCACGTCACGAGCTCTGGAGCTAGGTGTGAGTCAGGGATTCATTCTGTCTGTTCGCTCAGTGTGGAGGTTCAGGGGGGACCAGCCAGAAGCAGCAGAACTGGGGCTCTTCTCATCCATCCAGCGAGGAAGCCCAATCTGACCCGAGGTGGAGTCTGTGTGTGTCAGTGCCAGGAAGGTGAAGTGGCCACACCTGAAGCTGCCCAGACACGGAGGCTGTCCCTCCTGTCCTTGATGTTTGCTAACTATCCCCATGGCATCTGGGATTCACTTAGCCCATTTGGCTTATTTATTTTCATATATACATTTTTTTAGCACTTCTGTGGAATGAACCCTCTACCACTGACCTACACACCCAGCCCTTTTTATTTTATTTTGAGACAAGGGTCTCGCTACATTGCCTAGGCTGGCCTTGAACTTGCAGCCCTCCTGCTTCAGCCTCCTGGGTCTCTGGGATCACAGGTGTGCACCACTGTGCCCAGCTCACATGGTTCATTAATAAAAATGAGCTCCAAGGAGAGCGGATCTGATCTGGAGGGCAGACTCCACTCCAGCTGCCCACAGGTGGCAAGGTCAGACGACACCCACACCCTTCTGTACACACAGACCCTCCTGGAGAAGATGTGCAAACTGTGGGCACTGACCCGGCCGCAGGCAACCCAGGCAGAGCTGGGTGGGAGGAACCTGGTCTGGGTGGAGAAACGGTAAAGCCAGGGCATTTCCACAAGAAATTGGAAACCCAGAGAAGAACCACAGTGTGCCGTCACCTTTCCACTTGGGACAAGCTCTGCAAGTGCCTTGGGACTCAGTTCCTGTGGGGATTGGGGTGAGGGTAAGAAGACTGGGCAGAGGACCACAGAAGACCAGAGCAGGACAGCTGCCTCAGATGTCAGTGCTGAGCCTTCCTCTCCATGTTCCTCTCCATGCCCCACAGCATCCACGGCCCCACCCACCCTGCCTAATGCAAACCTGTAGGCACAGAGCAGAGGCTGCTGGAGCCTCCCCAAACCCTCCCGCAGCATAAAGCCCCCAGTCCACACGTGTAGTCTTCTCGAGGCCATCTGAGATCCCGGCCCAGGACCACCCAGAGCTGGAAGTCTAAGGAAGCAGGAGGGCAAGACAGAACCTGGCCATCACCTACGTCATATGCTAAGGAGAAACTAGGTACAGTTCTAAGTATGACAGAAAGCAGAAGCCTGGTGGACAGAGATGGACAGAACAAAGGCCCAACCCGCTGGGGAAGGGCACTAACCCTGCCGCCCAGGGTGCCTGGAGCCAGTGCAGCTGGGGAGGGGCCTGACCTGGACTGTGGGTGAGGTGGGGTACACCCCAGCAGCTGCAGCACCCACAGGGCCCAGGGCAGGGGGCCAGACCTGGAGTGTAGACAGGGCGTATGTACCCAGCAGTTGAGCACCCACGGTGTCCAGGGCAAGGGGCCTGACCTGGAGTGTAGATAGGGGGTATGTTCCCCAGCAGCTGCAGCAGCCATGGTGTCCAGGGCAGGAGGCCTGACCTGGAGTGTAGACCAGGGGTATGCACCCCAGCAGCTGTAGCAGCCACAGTGCCCAAGGCAGGAGGCCTGACCTGGAGTGTAGACTAGGGGTATGCACCCCAGCAGCTGTAGCAGCCACAGTGCCCAAGGCAGGAGGCCTGACCTGGAGTGTAGACCAGGGGTATGCACCCCAGCAGCTGTAGCAGCCACAGTGCCCAAGGCAGGAGGCCTGACCTGGAGTGTAGACCAGGGGTATGCACCCCAGCAGCTGTAGCAGCCACAGTGCCCAAGGCAGGAGGCCTGACCTGGAGTGTAGACAGGGGTATGCACCCCAGCAGCTGCAGCAGCCACAGTGCCCAGGGCAGGGAGCCTGACCTGGAGTGTAGACCAGGGGTATGCACCCCAGCAGCTTCAGCATCCACAGTGCCCAGGGCAGGGAGCCTGACCTGGAGTGTAGACAGGGGTATGCACCCCAGCAGCTTCAGCATCCACAGTGTCCAGGGTAGGGGGTCTGACCTGGAGTGTAGACAAGGGGTATGTACCCCAGAAGATGCAGCAGCCACAGTGCCCAGGGCAGGGGGCCTGACCTGGAGTGTAGAGAGGGGGTATGCACCCCAGCATCTGTAGCACCCACGGTGCCCAGGGCAAATCACACAATTAACAGTAGACACCTACCTCTGACCATGGCTGAGCCTGCTCCTTCATAAAGTAGACCCCTTGCCCCTCTGGAGTCCCTGGTGTGGGAGCCCAGGGCTAGGTCTATCCAGGCCTCCTCAGAGCTACCCTGGCTCCCAGTACTCAGTGCACCTAGGGCCGTCCTATCAAGGTGGTGGAAAGGCCCTGCCTAGGAGTGTGGAGGAGCAGCCAGGGCCCTGTAACCTGGCCCCAGAGAAAGCCTATGGCCTGAGCATGGGCTGAGCAAGGCAGTCTGGGGAGGCGGGAGGAGGAGATGCACATGCACCGCACACCACACTCTCCCGGTCACAGGTGGGCCCAGGTGAGACCCATTGCACTCAGGTGGACACAGGTGGGGTCAGATGAGGTCCAGGTGGCTGCGGTGAGAGTCCTACCTTGGAAGAAGCTCTTCACCCTCAGGTAGCTCACACTGAGGCGCAGGACAGAGAGCTTATCCAGCTTGGCGATGATGTCGGGGGGAAAGGGCAGCAGGCTGGCCAGGTGGTCCAGCTCTGCATTCAGGCGGTCCCGGTGCCTCTTGGAAGGGTTTGACTTCTCGGCCCCCAGGGCAGGCCTCCTGTGGGAAAAAGACCACATTAGGCAGGAGCCTCTGGCCTCAGGGGCGGGAAACCTGGTCTCTGGAATTGCCTTGCTAGGAACATGAGCAGAGGAGCCGCAAGTGCTGACGAGAACTGAAACCCCTTCCTGAAGACGCACAGGAAGCCAGTGCCCAACGCCTCAGGCTGCAGCTTGGGGACAAAGACCAGCGCAGGGCTGGGGTCGTAGCTCAGTGGCAGAGCGCTTGCCTCGCACATGTGAGGCACTGGGTTTGATCCTCAGCACCACATAAAAAGTAAGTAAATAAAATAAAGGTCTGGTGTCCATCTACAATTAAAATATTAAAAAAAAAAAGACCAGCTGCAGAGGACAGGAGGGCAGGGGAGGGTCACATGTTCTTCACCTCCCTGTGCCACAGCCCAGCAGGACAAGGACGCCTGGCCCAGGCTGGTGCATGGAAACCCTGTGTTCACGCCACCTCCTGCAGGGGTCCCTGTTGCCTGACAAGGCTGATGCATTCCAGGAGAAAGGGAGTCCCCCCAGGTGGTGAGCCCAGACCCACCCCTGGGCATCTCTAACCACCTTGGGCGCTCTCCTCGGCAGCACCAGAGGTCTGTGCTCACAGGGACTGCCCCACCTGGGAAGAACCAGCACGTAACACCCTCGGGACAGCCATGTGGCCAGATACCACTGGCCGTCAGAAGGACAATGATCCCAGACCCACCGCACCAGCAGAGGAGCCCAACGCACAACACACGATCCCATCTGCACAACATGCCAGGAAATGCAAACTCATCCACAGCAGCAGGAAGCCGACCAGAGGCTGCTTGGGGCAGAGGTGGAGGGGTCCCCAAGGGGCACCGGGAAACCTGGAGTGATGGAAATGTTCGTGATCTTGATTCGAAAATGGCTTCGTCAGCAAGGCTCCATCAGCCCATTCACTTCACCCGCTGAACTGAAACGTGTACCTCAGTCACATCCCAGTGAAGAGGGAAGCAGCAACTTCCAGGCTGCTCCGAGCTTCGGACACTGTCCCCGGGGAGGCTCAGCCACCCCAGAGGACGGGAGGTGGAGGGAGGAGCACGCTACCAGTCGTTCCAGGCATTTCACCTCTGGAGAAAGTTGCGACGGAGAATCACATGGCCCCCCAGGGCCAGCGCTGGCCTGCACCCTGTGCCTTGGGGTGCTCAGGAGCTGCTGTGGCCCCGTGCCAGTGCTCAGGAATCTCCACACGTCCCTCTGAGGCTGTGTGCCAGCCCGACACTCCACACCTCACCACCTGCCCCTTCCGGGAGGAGACGGCACAGGCAGACCTGAGCCCACCCACGTGCAGACCAGGATGCCAGGCCACACCTAGCCACAGCCCTCAGCCCTGGCAAGGAGGCCAGAGCCCTGCAGATGTGGCAGCCAGCACCAGCAGGGGCTGCAGGAGGGGCTCTCTGGACGCCAACAACAGAGCCAAGTGCAGCTCTTTCCCAGAATAGGTCTCCCACAGGATGGACCCGGCCACCTTCACGGGGACGCCCACCCCAGAGCAGCTGGCCTCAGCCTCCTCGCTGCACAACAGCCTGAAAGCGTGTGAGCATGAGCAGTTGCCGAGCTCAGAGCCCCAGAGCTCCCTGCTGGAGGCCCACGTGGTCTCCACTGAGGCACTGGGCCTCAATGTGGGACCTCGGGGCCGGGGGAGGTCCTAAGGTGACACTCTCCAAGGGCTTGATGGAGTCCTTCCCCCTCCCACTCATGCCTCCACCATGACCCATCCTGCCAGGCAGCTGAGGGGCCTCCCAGAGCCAGAACCACACCTTGGACTCCCAGCCTCAAAATGTGAGCCGCACCAACCTTCATTCTCTATACAGTACCCAGCGGGGGCACTTTGTTTCAGTAAAAGAGGGCAGACTCACACAGTGACTGTCCACATTACCCCTCAAACCACAATTCCACATTGCCCAGCACCCCCTCAGGTCAGTGTGAAAACTGGCTAGTCAGTAAAGCCATTCAGGGAGAGTCCAACTGCTTAACGGTCTAAATTTTTTTTAAAAAAGTGTGTGTGTGTTAGAAGATAAAACAGGAAAATCCTCTTAACTGGAAACACAGAAGCTCTTTGTCATCAGATGTAAAGTTTAATCACCCACAAAGGAAAGATGACAAACTCAGCTCCACAGAAGTTCCAGTTTTCTGCATGGCAAAGATTCCACAAGAGAAGTGGGAACTGGGGAAAGTAGACACCCCTAGAGAGGACAGGAGGGTCCCCGATGCCCAGCAGGCTGCCACAGTAAGAAGCACAAAAACATGAATCGTCTCTCAGGAAAATGAGCACGGGTTTCCACCCAGAGTTCACAGCAGAGGAGACAGAGCAGCTCTAGACTTGGCCCAGAAGAGACGTGGCAGCTCTAGGTCCGGCTGAGGAAGAGATGCGCCAACTCTAGTCTGGCCGGGGAGGAGATGCGGCAGGTCTAGGTCTGGCGGAGGAGGCGACACAGTGGATCTAGGCCTGGCCGAGGAGGCGACACTGCACTCTAGGCCAAGGAAGGGAGACTGCATCACAAGCTCCTGGCTAGGGGTAGGAAGCCTAAACTGCACCGGCTCTGATGCTAGTGAGGGTGACACCACCAGATCCCGGCCCTTGCCGCCAACCAGCAGCCCCGCCAACCCCCGACATTGGCACCAGGCCTGGGGTCTGATTTGCCTGCTGCAGCCCCATACCAGGTCTGGGTGGCAATGGGGGCAGAAGACCCTAATGGGACAAAGCCCTTGAGCTTGCGGCAGGGTGAGCAGCAGCAGCTGGTGTGTCCTTCACCCACGTCCCCATCCCACAGGGACATGTGGGAGGCCTGGGTGGGCATCACTTGCACAGCATATCTGCGCTACAGCCCAGGAACCTGCAGCTGCAGACTCACAGGCCGATGACAGAGCAGGGCTGGCAGGGCACGGCGCTGCTCAGCCACACACCAGCCAGCTCCACCGCAGCGCCTCACTCGCAGGAAGAGGGAAGCCTGTGCTGGTCTACCCACACACACCTCAGGAGGATTCATGAGAAGCAGCTAAACTCAGGTGCCTCGGGGAGGGGACCAACTGTGGAGACCAGCCGTCCCCTGGGGTCCCAACCAGGTGAGGGGCTCACCTGTCCAGAACATGGGCAGGTAGAAGCAGATGCCTGAGGGCTCACTCACACTCTGCCCGACAGGCAGGGAGCTCGCCTCTGCTGCCCCGGACTGCCCACCAAGCTCTGCACTTCAGCTGGGTGGCCATTACGTTCCTTCTGCCCCACCCTCGGAGCACGCTTCCACACCCCAGCTCCTCCTTAGTGTGTCCAGCTCAGCCCCTGAGGACCTGTGCCGATAGATAGTCACGCAACCCAGCCAATCAGCCTCAAGAGCAGGAGGAGTGGGAGAGGTGGAGAGGCTTGTGGGAAGCCGGTGGTGGCAGTTGGGCTCTGAGGGACTTCCTGAGGAGCTGTTTTGTTTGGCGTGTGTCGTTCTAAAAATAAAGTTCGTTTCTTTTGACTCCTGAATCGTGCCCAGCCAGACTGCGGCATTTGGTGGCTCGCATGGGGAGCGACTGAGGGTAAGTGATAAGGTAAACTGCTCGCCCCTGAGGGCAGGGCGAGGGGATGGGTAGCCATTTTAAGATTCCTCTTTTGTTTTGCTTCACTTTTGTTTTAAGATGCCTGTCCCTGGAGATGAGTGAGATGGAAGAAAAACCACTCACATCTGAGGAATAGATAGGGAGAAAGGATGGATGGATATTTCAGGAGGATAGAAAAGCTGATATAATGATTTTCTGTTGTTCCACTTTTGTTTCATTCTGTTTCAGTTTTGTTTGGCGTCATCTTGTTGGGTTGTATTATAGTTATAGTAGAAATATTCAAGTAAAAGAGAAGGTCTCTTGAGCTAGTCAGACAGAGGAAAAAATTCAATTAAAAGAGAAGGTCTCTCGAACTAGTCAGACAGAGAAAGAAAGTGTAAAGCAGAAAAAGCCATCAGGGGGAAAGTTACAACAGGAAACTGCTACTAACACCTTTCTATCACCAGAGGACGTAAGTGTCCAACTAACAGCACCACCTCTACAGGAGACTGCTACTAACACCTTTCTATCACCAGAGGACGTAAGTGTCCAACTAACAAGGCCACCTCCATATGCTGGGAGGCCTCCAACCCCCGCAGTTGATAGTTGGGATCCTGAGACAAGATCTCAAATATTAACATGCCCTGTATTTGAGGCAGGAGGGCAGCGAATTCACAATGCTTTAAACTTCAAAACAGTGAAGCAGCTAAAAGAGGCTGTAACAACCTATGGTCCTCAAGCACCCTTCACTGTAAGCTTGGTCGAATTCATTAACAACTTGAACATGACGCCAGCAGATTGGGCTAATATGTGTAAAGCTGTGCTAAATGGAGGACAATACCTGTTATGGAAGGTTGCCAATGAGGAATTTTGCAAGGAGACGGCTAGGCGAAATGCAGCAGCTGGTTATCCTCAGAGAAATCTAGATATGTTGTTAGGAAAGGGACCTTATGAGGATCAGCAGCAACAAATTGCATATGATCCTGGTGTATACGCACAAATTGCTGCAGATGCAGTTAAGGCATGGAAGACTTTACAAGGACATGGAGGTTTACAAGGTCAATTATCTAAGGTAATACAAGGAGCTAATGAACCTTATGCTGAATTTGTAGATAGGCTTATTCAAACAGCTACCAGAGTTTTTGGGAATACAGAACAAGCAATGCCATTACTAAAACACCTGGCTTATGAGCAAGCGAATCGTTGGTGCAGAGATATCATTAGACCATGGAAACATGAAGATTTAAACACATATATTAAATTATGTAGAGACATTAATGAACAAGAGCAAGTCGTGGCAGCTGCAGTAAAACAGGCTTTAGATGCCAGAGACATTAATGAACAAGGGCAAATTGTGGCAGCTGCAGTAAAACAGGCTTTAGATGCCAGGCCAAGAACATGCTACAATTGTGAACAAACAGGACATTTTAAAAGGAATTGCCCCATAGGAGGAAG